AATAAACTTATAAAATAAAAATAAAAAAATAAAATAAAAAGAAACAGTGGTTTGCTTTGCATGGCAACGGCTGGCTTTGCATCTTCTCTTCCCCCACTCCCACGCCAGCGCCTCTACCTTCCCTGGCCACGGACCCTGCTGGCACTAACTTGACAGCGCCGTTCTTATCCTAGTTAGGAGAGTGGACGGTCAAGGGAGCATCATTTGCCCACTTACCCCATCATCCACAGAAGCCACTCGGGTTCTTCTGAGACCTGCTAGGTGTCCTCCCAATGCACTGCTGTGCTCAGTCACCCTCACTCACGTCCTCACTTCCTCCTCTCCAGGGCACACTGCTGGGCTCCTTAGAAGCTGGAGTGTCTCAGCGCTTCCTTTTCTTGAGGTCTCGTGATGCAGGTTGAGCGTCTTTACTCCGCCCCAGTCAGAGGAGATCAGTCTTGGAGAGGAGGGTGGGGATGGCCACCTGTGGCAAGACGCAGGGAACTGTCAGCCTGGAGACAGGCCTGGGGCATCCCTTTAAAAGTCATAGTGCTTTTTCATCAAGAGCCAAAAAAGAAAAAATAATAATAATAATAAGCCAACATGTTTTATGTCGAGTCAGTAGACTGTTTCCGGGGATGTTCCATTTTCGCCTGAGCTAGAGATTGGTGTGGATGGACGCCTGAGCCTGGCCACCTGAGGGGACACACTGGGGGTTATTCTTCTGTGTGTCCCTGGCTGGGGATCGAACTTGTGTTGCAGTGTCTGCCGATAGCTGCCCAGTTCTGAGACTCAGCCCCTGTGCTACCAGGGAGGGTCCTCATGGTCACTCTTGAGGACCTGCATAGAAGCTTTGTATGATGTTGTCTTTGTGGGGTAAACACATTTCAGTTCTTGACAACTAACTTAAAAAAGAGCCTTTTGTAATCTGGTTGTTTAAAAGTGACAAATAGTTGTGATAGGGCTGAATGTTCACTCCTGGAAAGTAGTATTCTTATATCTCAATATCATGATGACCTTAAATGTCTAGTTCATGGGGGTGCCATGTGGATTCTAGTCAGACCATGAACCCTTAAAATCAAATGTGACACTGTGTATATTTCTAGAAGTAGGTTTTACTACTTTCATTGTGATTTTAAAAAATGTCTTACTCTGGGGGAGTAGAGTGCATGAGGAGGCAGCTTAATGACGTCTGTCATGGAGATGGCAAGGCCAGGCAGCTGCCCATCCAGCCTGGGGACCATCCTTTGGGGGTTCAGGAGCTCAGCGGTTCCAGAGGAGGCTGTGGGAACACAGCTGAGGCCCTTGCCTTCCTGGGTCTCTGGCAGTGGGATTCCACCCTGCTAATGAGTCTGTTCTCCTCTGTGGCTGCCTCACCGTCTCCATCTGTCTCTGTCCTTGTCACTCCACATGTCCTGCCACTTGCCTCGTCCAAGAAATCTTCTCAAATCCCTGTCACCCTAGTTGTTGTTACTGGTTTTTTAAATTAGGTCTGTACTTTTCATTGCTGACCAGTAAATGAGTACTGTGTGTCTATTAAGTACCTCTCTTGCCTCTTGGGAGAGAAGGCGGGATGACAGTGCTGTGGCCCTGGGAAGCACATTCCAGCCAGCTGGCTTGGTCTCCGGCCCAGCTCTGTGACCTGTGGCTGCATATGTCACCTTGGCTCTCGGCTTTCTCATTTGTGAGTTGGAAATAATGTTGGTTGCTACCTTGCAGGGTGATGTTTAACGTGCTTAGAGCAGTGCTTGGCATACAAAACCTAATAGGGTATTTTCAGATGGGGTTAGTAATTGTTTCATTTTTGCCTCTTGGACCTCCTTCCCGACCTCTTAGTTGATTAGGTAAAAGATTTCTTTTTCTGGGGCCCTCCCTGGTGGCGCAGCGGGTTAAAGCACAGCACTAAGAAGCTAAAGCCATTTCAGCATGAGTTCGAACCCTGCCCGCCTTGGAGGTGACCCACATGGCGCGGCAGATCGCTCCTGCTCCCCTCCTCAGTGTGCTTCGTTGATCTGCCTGTTCTGCTCCCCACTCTGTCTTTGGGGAATCCTCTCACTGCCCCTGCACCTCTGGCCTGTTCTGTATGAATAAATAAATCTTTTTAAAAAATATATTTCTTTTTCTGAACTGACGTTCATTTTCCTTTGCTCTGGAGTACCCCTGATGTCTGGGGAAAGGGCTAAGCCATATTACAGAGGTGGAGACATCACTGGAGCCTGTAGGCCATGGGAATAGTCACTCTTGATTTCTTCCCACAGGGTGTGGACACTGTAAGAAAATGAAGCCAGAGTTTGAGAATGCAGCGGAAGTCCTCCATGGAGAAGCAGACGTAAGCTTCCTATCCTCCCCTTCTCCCACCATTCTTTTCTACAGAGTCAGTGGTGTGAATCATTACAGCTTCCCTCTGCAAGTCTTTGAGAAGCTTTCTGGAGGTCTCTGGTCCTTCTGCGTCCCTGAGTAGACGTGCCTTAGTCAGACATGGGGAGGGCTCTACCAAGGATGGAGAGGTGTAGAGAGACAATAGGGTCGTGGCTCCATACCTTTCCAGGCGACTTTGGACCGGCCATGGCTCTGGGGTGAGGCCCCAAGGGTTGACCTCTTTGTTCTGGGACCCTGGATATGGGGAACAGCTCAGACAACCCAGCCTCATTGGTAGGGCAGATTTAAAAGTCCAGTTATTCCCTTGGGTTTATGAGCTGGCGCCAGCTACCCCAGTGAAGTTCTGGCAGGCCTCTTGGGTTGGGGGTTGGCACCTGGGCTTCACTGTCTGCCAGCACCGCGTCTGAGGCTGTCATGCATGGTTGGCCTCTCCCCCACCCCAGAGCTCTGGTGTCCTTGCAGCTGTCGATGCTACTGTCAACAAGGCCCTCGCAGAGAGATTCCACATCTCTGAGTTTCCTACACTGAAGTACTTTAAGAATGGAGAGAAATACGCAGCGCCCATACTTAGGACAAAGAAGAAGATTATTGAGTGGATGCAAAAGTAAGTTTGTTCTTCATGGTACACCGTGACTCCTGGCTGCTGGTCTCTGGAAACACCTTTGAGGAGATGGTGAACCTTAGGGGGCGCCGACCCCCACTCAGGACCAAGGAAGCCTAGATAGATTTGACTTTGTGCCTGAAGCTAGCTCTGCCCTGCTAACACAGGTCCTCTCCCAGCAGCTCCCTAGAGGCCTCCATGGGCTGTTTCTTCAGCTCCAGTAAGCTGGGATTCTTTCCCCCTCTCTGAGCCCTAGGTTTTCTGTGTATATTTTATTCCAGCCCCTTCAATGGAATGTGGGAAACACACAGCTCTTCACATCAGTGTTGCACTCATTTGCTTCCAGGTTTGCTAATGGTTGACTGGGCCTTTGGTAGTATCCTGCCTGAGATTGTGGGTGAGAATAAAAGTTTCAAGAGCCCCTTCAGCTGGTCATTGGTTTGCTAGGACTACCACAACAAGTAACACAGCTGGGCCGCTTAACAGCGGTTTCTCCTCTCACAGTTCAAGAGACCACAAGTCTGAGATAAGAAGTTGACAGGATTGGCTTCTTCTGAAGACCTTCTCCTTGGCACATCTTCTCCTCTGGGTCCTTATAGGGTCTTTCCTAAATGTCTGTGCCCAAATCCCATCTTAGAAGGTTGCCGGACATTTTAATAATTACCCCTCTAAAGACCCTATCTCCAAAAATAGGCCCAAGTGACCTTAGGATTTCTATTTCGAGGACCCCTATTCACCCAAGGACTTTGAAACCTGTATTTCTGACATTGCCGTGCCATCACAGATGCTGTAGGAAATGGAGGAAGTCTTGGGCCATGCAGTCGGGATGAAACTTAATAATAGGATGCAGTTAAATAGGCTTTCTCCTGCACACACTCCTCTACACACATACACACACACACACACACACACACTTGCTCATATTCACACACTTGAATATTCAAGAAAATTTCCCCACTTAAGTACTGAGGGTAAAATAAAATAAAAGAAGACATCTCAGCCTTTTCATAGGTTCCTGTGTGGCATAATGATGCCCATGTAAGAACCAAGACTTTGACATCACAAAGCAACATGAGAACCATGAAAAATGGCAATGTTGTAAGATGGAGTTCCTTTTTAAGACACTGGTCTGCAAACTTTTATGTATATAAGCATCATCTAGTATCAGGGTGCTTATTTAAAGTTCAAATCCTGGAGCTGTTATCCCTGGTGCTTTGATTCAAGAAGTGCAAATAGGATGTTCAGCCTGCATGTTTTGAAAAACATCAGTTTATAGAATGGGGAGCCAAGTTACCCATAGGTTCAGGAGAGGCCCTGGAAGGGGTGATCAAGCTGGTGAGATCCTGGTCTGGGCCCCTTCTACTCTGTCCTGCACATCACTGAGGGTGGACTCTAAGAGTAGCCGCACCTTTGTTGTAGGGGGCAGAGAGGCGTGATGACTTGCCTCAAAAGACACGAGGTTCCTGCTTCTCCGGGTCCTCTGGGGTCTTGAGCAGAGGACCAGCACTCTGTTCACACTGCTGGTCCAGCCTCACTCTGTGATGGGCTGGTTCACTGGGAGAGCTTGAAACAGGTAGAGGTTTAGGCATAGTCCTTGGTTAGAGAGCTGGGAAATTAGAAGCTTAATCTCTGCTGATCTGTGCTCAGGACAGATCACGGCTGGCCACAGATAGTGAGCACCAAGGTGGCTGTCCTTTCTATGCCTGCCTGCCTGCTGCTGAGCTCCAAAAGGCACTGAGGGCAAAGAGCACGGATTTGGGGGTCTGAGAGACCCCCACTCAGCTCAGGACTGACCCCAGCCATGCACTTACGGACCCTCCAGGCCCCGGTTTCCTGTCTGTAAAGTGGAAACCGTACATCTCCATTGACTTGCCTAGAGAATTTGTGGTAGATCAGACTGTTGTGCTTATTAGTACAGTGGATGATGTGAGAATACTCAGAGGAACGTCTTTATTTTTCATGCCAGCTTTCATGTGAAGCTTTAACCAGTAGCTCACCACTGAATGATAATACCTGCCCAGCTTTGCAGAATGCTTTTGCATCTGGTAACCCATTTCCTCCTGAATCTACTGAGGGTAGATATTTTATACTATTTACTTGATGAAGAAACCTAGGTTCATCTTGGTGGAGGGCCATCCCTAGAGACAAATAATCATTCCTTTGGGTTCGGAAAGAAGCCTTCAGGCGGAACGTGAACAGCAGATGGCTCTGAGATGGATAGTTGAGACTTGTCACCCAGAAGCAGGGTGAGCAGACGGCGTCTGGAGAGGCTGATGGTGTTTCCAGGCTTGCGCACAGGTGGCAGCGCTGTGGGTAACTGAGCTGTGCCTGCCAGCAGGCCTGCCTGGGAGAGGGAATTCAGGTTCCAAACAGAGCAGAAAGGTCAGGCAGGCGCTGACAACCTCTGAGCCAGGGCTCGTGACAGGGAGCCTGGAAGTGAAAGGAAGAATACGGGAAGGGAAGTGGGGGGGTGGGGGCAGGGGAGAGGTGGGAGCCGCCCAGGGTGGCGCATGCTGCTCTGTGCTGGGCGCAGGGATGGAGAATTCAGGAGAGGGTATCAGGCCACCAGATACACACCACTCCCCAAAAACAATTCTCAGAGAAGGGTGAGAGAAATGTGATTATAGGTGGGGTGGGGCGGTGGGCAGTAAAGGCTGTTGAAAGCCCCTGGACTCTATTTGTGTGAGGCAGGGTGGAAAGAGCCACTGGACGGGGAGAGACTGTTAAATGATCAAGGCCTGTTGAAAGACTGTCATCTATTAGAGCGGATAGGCTTTCAGAAACAATCAGTCTTGACAAAAATAGCTGTTCACATACACCCTCCCTGCTCTTCATCAGGCTCCAGGGAAGTAAGTATTATTGTCCTCATTTAACAAAAGGAAAACTGGAAGTTCATAGGGTTAATAACATATCTAAGGCTACATGGCCGCTAGGTCTTCTGGATTTGAACTCAGATCCACCTCACTCCTTGGCCCAGGCCCTCTGTACCTGAACAAGGGCTCAGGAGCAAAAGATAAGGGAGAACCCTTTAAGGTGCCTAAGAGGGAGGCAGTCAGGGTGCAGAGGAGCTTAGATGCCTACGGCAAGGAGTGAACACCCCACTCCTGAGGGGATGGTCCTGCCTAGAAATAGGCTCAGGTCTTCCATACCTTCACAAAATGCCTTCTTAAAGGTGTCTCAGAGGGAATCAGAATAACTTAGCGGGGAGCACAGATTTGTTCGTGTTTAAACTGAGGTCTTACAATAGACTTCTAAAAAGAACACGGAGGTGTCTTCGTGTGTGCTCCCCCGTGTATGTGTGTGTGTGTGTGTTGGGGGGGGTGCTTACTCATTCACCAGCCTCTGCTTGTGACTGTCCCCTCAACCCTTCTCCCTGCAGTCCCGAGGCCCCTCCACCCCCAGAGCCCACCTGGGAAGAGCAGCAGACCAGCGTGCTGCATCTGGCAGGGGACAACTTCCGGGAGACCCTGAAGAAGAAGAAACACACTTTGGTCATGTTCTATGCCCCTTGTAAGTATCGGGGCCACTCACTCAGGGGCAAGGTAGAGGAATATGGCCTGACAACTCTGGGCTCAGTTTGTTTTCCTGATTTCATTCCTGGTCAAGAGATCCTTCAGATTCCACGAGCTCCTCTCTTGGCTCTGTCAGGTTCTTCTTTTTTTTTTTTTTTAAGGCCTATTTATTATTTATTGATGCTTATAGAACTGGGGTACAAGCCAGAGGTACAGGAGCAGTGAGAGGATTTACCAGAGACAGAGTGGGGAGCAGAACAGGCAGACGGATGAAGTACACTGCTGAGGGGAGCAGTGGGCAGGTCAGGAGAGGTCTGCCGCGCCATGTGGGTCAGCGCCAGGGCCAGGATCGAACTCGCACTGAAGCGGCTGCAGCCAGCTTGCAGTGCTGCGTCCTAACCCATTGCACCACCACGGCAGGCCCTCCGGCAGGTTCTTTTCCTCACTCTGGGAGACCGTTCTCATGTCAGTCCCGAAGCCCTCTACTCCTGTGTATGGCAGAGGCCTCAGTCTTCCTGTGTCCCTGGGGTCTTCCAGGCTGCCTGCTTGCCTCCTGGCCACTTCCTTCTAGCCCTGGACTCCCTCCTCCTCTACAGGCCCTGAATACGCTTTTAAATCTTGGAATTTAGCAATGTGGGCCTTTGTCTCTTCTTCCATCTCTTTCCTAAGCATCTCTGCCTGGCCCGCTATCATTGGCCTTCCAAGTGGCTGCGAGGCCGGCCACGGTGGAAAGCTGTGGTGTAGGTTCAGGCACCTTAATTCCAAGCCCTCCCCCTGCCTCTGTTTTAATCAACACTTAAGCTGAGGAAGCGACTGACTCATCTGCTAACATAGGTGTTTGGGGCCTCTGTTTTTTGTGTAGTCCCATTTTGAAGTTGTGAATTGAGACTTAAAAGAAAAGACTCAAATTTCCCACCCTTCTGTTGCCCTTCTCTCTCTCCCCCAGGTTACAGCTCAGCTTAATGGAGTGGGGATAATAAAAGCTGCACTTATGGAGAAGCCAGGCAGCTCAATCAAGTCATAAACCCGCTGGATTGTAGCCAGCCCTCCTGTTTGCACCCAGCCTACCCCCACTTTTCAAGTGTCAGTAATGCTTAATGTCTCTTCTGCACTCTCACTATGTGGCGGGGTTCTCCTGACCCCGCCACCCCCAGCCTCAGACCAGCCCTCAAACCACTAACATATTCCTCTGTCTTTGCCTTTTCCGGTCCTGGGGGACCTCGGTTTTGTTACAGAGCTGCTTGCTGTCCTCATCTGTCCTTGGAGTGTGCTTTGAAGGCTGAGTGGATTTTAAGAAGTTAACATCTTCCATCAGGGCAGAGTGGGGCACAAATCTGAGACCTGGGAGGCCCTTGCTTGCCCAGGGCCTCTCACAGAGCTCCTCCTTTCTCTCTGTCACAGACTGGAGGGTACTCAAGTGCGAGCTTTCTCAGCAGTGAATGAGAAACTGGCCATAGAAGTAGAAGTCCTTGGGCAGGTACTGGGTCGACTTTGGAGAGTCCTGTTGAGCTGCTTCTCCCTTCCTTCCCCCAGCCCTCTGGACCTGAGCAACGGACTTTCTAGCTCTTCTGGACTGATGGGCTTTCATGGTAGATAGGAAGGCCCCACTGGTTGCTGGGACAGATGTGTTCCTAAATCCCAGGGATTCTGGGGTAGAGCCTCCTACCCTGTTGGGGTGCCAGTGAGGTCTCTCCCTCTGTCAAATAATAGCTTTGTGCAACATGGTGTCTTGGGCACCAGAAGCAAGGGTAGGAGGCCTGGCCCTGCCACACCTCAAGTCATGGATCACGCCAAGAGACCTCTCCAAACGAAGCGCATTCAGGCCCAGGTCCCTGGTCAAGAGTTTGGCACCTAGAGTCTCCTGTCTAACTTACTGCTCTTCCCTGAACTCTGCACCTGACTCCTGAGCTGTGTTCATGAGCTGGTAAAAAGGGGCAGGAGACAATACAAAGACAAAACAACCTTTTAAATTTTTTCAATGTTAATTTCTCATACAAGATTCCTCTGCACTTGAACAAGATGTTAGAAAATCAATTTTATAATAAAGGCTTCAAATAAAAATAAAGGAAGGAAAAGGGAGAAAAGCCTCAATGATAAAAATAATATATACTTATAATATTTAGCATGTAATTTATATTATATATAAGGAATATAAATACTAAGAAATACTGCCCTTCTCTCTTCCCCCCAACCCCCTTGCTCCCCAGTCACTACACAGATCTCTGCTGCTGCTTTCTTTTCTCCTGTTCTGAGCCCCCTCTGCTCGGAATATTCTGGCATGGTAACTGCCCATCTTAGGTCAACATGGCTGAGTCTCTAAAATTAGAATCTTCTGTCCTGTCCTCAGTCTCTGCTCCTGTGGCCCAACTCTGGAGGGCTCCCTACTACAAGAGGTGGTGCCTTCTTTTTTTAAAGACCCAAAATTACAAAGTCTTGCCTCTTTTGGACCACCTTACAAGCATCTTCCCACCCTTTCTGTAACAGCCTCCCTTCCTGAGCACACATCCTTCTTTTCTAACTACGAGTTCCCTCTCCACCCTGGGCCAGGTTCTTCCTAGCCCTGTGGCTGTCCTGTGTGGAAGGAGCTTGTAGAGCAAGCTGAGTGGGCTCCTTCGCCCCAGCCACTTGGGCTGGGTGAATGATGGGAGACGTGGGGTGGGAAGAGTGAACTCTGGGATACACCAGGTGGCCGCAGTCAGAGCTCCAATGAAGTCCTCGTCCGACAGCAGATGCACAGGGTGGTGGTTTGCACTGCAGCGTTGATGTGTGGACCCTGGCGTTGGGATGGACATGGGCTGGGGGTCAGATGAGAAGGGGAGAAGCTCCTGAAAGGTTTCTCTGAAGACTCTATCAAGGCCCTTGGCAACATTCTCCCCTTCTTCCATGCAGGGTGCCCCCACTGTAAGAAGGTCATCCCGCACTTTACTGCCACTGCTGATGCCTTCAAAGATGACCGGAAGGTAAAGACACCCCTCCGTATCTCTTGTCCTGCCGCCAACTCTGCCCTTCCGTTCCTTCCTCCCTTCTGGTCATGTCCCCTTCCCAAGTAGATTCTGCCGGGGATTCTTGGAACTGGGATTTTTCTTAATAAGGTGGGATAGAGCAAGCTGAATTTAATAGCAAAATTAATTTAATGGGATACACAGAGGCATCATAGTCCTTCCTCGGAAGGGAGGATACCATCTACTTAGTGTATTTTTGGTGTTTGAATCCTTTTACAGTAGTAGTTGTGGTCACGCATTACTTACATAATTAAAAATACAAATAAAAATGTCTAACAAAAGTCAGCTGAAGGCGGCATGGGGGAGGAGAACAGCACGGCTTCATCCCTCCTGAGTGAAAGGCTCCTGCAGCTGCCGGCTGATGAAGCATAAAATTAACAAGCAGGAGCTGCAGATAGGATTAGAGTTGAGGGAGTACCCCCCCCCCGCCCCCCAGAGCCCACAGTGGCGGGCACCTGGGCCTGCCCCCCACGAGGCCCCAAAGGAGGGAGCCCCCCCCCCCCGCCCCCCGCCCCGGGACTTATCCCCCAGGCCATTCTGATAGTCAGAGCAGTGCTGGCAGAGGTGTGGTTGGTGGTACTTGGCTGCTGCCAAACTGTGTGATCTGGGGGAAGAGGTAACTCTCCAGGCTTGGAGTCCCCTTCCCCAGAGTCAGGGCGCTAATCCAGATTATCTCAAAGACTCTCCCCAGCCTGACACCTGGTCGTAAGAACCACTCCCCAGACAGGTCCCGCGCGCACACACACAGCCAAGCCCAAAATCACACCAGCTCTTTCTTCTTTTCCTGGTAGCTTCCTCCAGTGGGGCCAGGGCATGCTGGATGCACGTGCCAGCACATCCTTGAGTGTGCCAGAGGTGGAGCGTGAGAGCTGGTTCAAGTCATCAAGCCTGGGGCACAGGCTTGTGTGTGGAGAGTGCGGACAAACTGGGGACGCAGAGCCTGGGTCCTTTCCCTGTACTCGGGGAGCCCCATAGTCACCCATAAGCCCTGGAGGTGCCATTCTGACATGACTCCTCTTCCCAGCTGTGTCCCTGGGGCCGCTGCCAGTAACTGCCTGGAAACACTGTCTCTGGGCTGGGGCGCTAAGGTTGCTGGGTGGCAACTATCAGATCATAGTGTCAGGAATGTGTAGTTTTTTAAAAATATTTATTTATTTCTGCTTACACAACTAGGGTACAGGCCAGAGGTGTGGTGGGTGAGAGGATTTACCAGAGACAAAGTGGGGAACAGAACAGGCAGACTGATTGAAGTGCACTGCTGAGGGGAGCAGCGGGCAGGTCAGGAGCAGTCTGCCACGCCATGTGGGTCAGCTCCCTGACCCACTTGTAACTTGTGCTGCAGTGGCTTCGGAGGGAGAGCTTCATAATGTGGTGCTTTAACCTCTTGTGCCACCAGGGAGAGCCCAGGAATGTATAATTTTTAAGAGCAGTATCTTGTGCTGCCCACAGGTGGGTGTTTGGGCACTACTAGCCTCCCCGCCATTCCTGCTCATAAAGTGTCAGGCCTAGAAGCACTGTGTTACTTGACCAGAGCCACCTAGTGGGTCACTGTCAGCCAGAACTGGGTCTCCTCACTCTCAGCTCTTCCTGATACCCTCTGCTGCCACTCTTAGGCGAATTGTATTTTTTTTTTTTTCCACCTAGAAGCCAGTCCCTGCTCCTTCCCCAATCAATATGCAGTTGGTTGTTCACTTCCATTTCCATAGCCAAAGTCAATATTAGCTCCTGCAGAGATTTATTTTACTGAATCAATAAAGCCATGCGAGGCAGCTCATATTTTAGCTGGGGAGCCTCCACCTCCTCCCAGGAGCTTCCTGGGGAACTTTAGCAGTCGACGCGCTGGGTGGTGAAAGAGCTGCACACTGGCACTGTTGAAACGAGGCCTCATGGAAGGGGCTGTGGAAGAGGAGAACCCGGGGAGGACTGCAGGTGCTGGCAGCGCCCAGAAGACCCCTGGGCTCGCAAGATGGGGCGCATCTCTCACGGCACATAAAGTGTCCCCCGCTGTGACGGTGGGGGTGGGAGACAGTGGGAGCAATCGCTTGATCCTAGCCAAGTGCTGAGGTCATATCCCAGGAGGGGTCCCTGGAGGCCGTGGGAACCCTTCCTTTGTGATTAGCCGTGAGGCTGCTTTAACTGGGCTGGTTTTACCACTGTCCTTCTGGAGGAAAGGTCCCTAAGAGCAGGGACCACCTCATTTATGCTTGAATTCCCCGGTCTCGATCCCTGAAACCTCTATGAATATTGACTAAATGAAGGAGCAATAGCAGATTTGCTATTTCCTGAGAGCTCTTCTCCCACTTAATAAGCACAATGGCACATGTCTTCACAATAGCCCACACAATTAGGTGGTACTGTTCCTCTCCCACTTGACAGGTGAGAAGACTGATCTCAGAGAGGTTAAAGAACCATCCCAGATGGGAAGGGACAGTGTCAGAATCAAATAAATAGATATCATCAGAGCTCTCCCAGAAATGAACTCAGGGCGTGGGGTCTCACTTTCAGGGAATTTATTTGAGGGGTGGTCTCTGGAGCAGACAAAGAGGTGGAGGAAGGGAGACCAGCTTAGGAAGGAGGTAGAGCAGGCATGAATGAGCAGATGCCTGTGTGGGACAGTCCCTGGGGACATCACTAGGAAGCTCTGAAATATTAAGGACTCCTGAACTCAAGTTCCATCTGTCACCAGCCTTAGTTCTAAATCCCTGCAGCCCAGACTTACCAGTGCCAGGGGCAAGTGCTTACAGAGGGACAGGGCAGGGCACTGACAACCCTCTGCCATGGAACAGATCTGAAAGTTACAGGTGTATATTCTGTGCTTCAAGGGAGTCGGAACAAATCATGAGTGGGTATGAGGGAGACAGGCGTTTAACAGGTGCAGCCGGGGTCAATGGGGTTTATTAGATGCTCTTTCCAAAGCGCCTAAGCACTTACTTAGAGAGGGCCACTCTCGTCTCTTCTTCACAGAAACTGGGCACAGAGGAGCTTTTGCAGCTAGAAGTAGCACTGTGTCTGCGGCTGGCAGCTAGGTGAGGTGATTCAGAAGAAGTACACATTTTTAATTTAGTAGATTTATAAAGCCATACACTACATTTCCCACAGCTCCGGGGCATGTATACAAATTAAGTTCATAATTTAAAGTGGATGCAGGGAGAGCAGCAGCCAGGAGCCGTGCTCCCCGCACACTCGGAGTAGCAGAGGCCGCCCGGCCACAGAGCGCCCACCGCGGCCTGGCGTCGCCCTCTCTTCCCGGCCAGGCCCCCGGCTCCTGCACGGAGAAACAGACCCTGTGGTCGCCCAGGACCATCCGCTTCAGTGTTTCGAGATAACTCAGACACCGCTGTCGAGGGCGAGCTGAAGGTTCTCAGCGGAGGCCAGCCTCCCAGCCCCAGTGAGTTAGGTGCTGGACATCAGCGAGTCGAAGCTGCCCGAGGGAGCCCCGAGTTGCCCGTGAGAAAGCAGGGCAAGTGCCGTCAAGTCTGGCTTTTAAAGAGAAGCTGGAACGTTAAACATTATATAAAAATTCTGGCTTTTTTTCTGAGTTGGCAGCTAATTCAGATTTTTTTTTCCAACTCTATGTGGGCCAAATAAAGCAGGACTGAGAGCCAGACATGGATTGTGTGCAGTGAGTTTGCAAACTGCTCTAAAATGTCTTACTACTCTAGAGAATGTTACATCCCAAAGAGGTGGAAGGGACGTGTGGGGCGCGTGAGGGGGCAGATGTGACTCGCAAGTAACCAGAATGCAGGCCGCACCCATTCTTGCTCTGCGGGTCCCCGGCTCACCTGGTGGTGAGGTCAGTGACAGTAAACTTCCTGCCGGTGGCCTGTAGGACGTCCCTCCTGGAGAGAGGGCCTCAGAGCAAATGGAATAGCCAACAGCCCAGAACTGGGTGAGGCGCGGACCCGGAGGCCTGGTAACAGTGCAGTCTGGGTTCCCGAACAGGCTGCTGCCTCGGCGCTCTCGCACTCGTTCCTCGCTCCTCGTTCCTGGCCCTTCTGCTAGGCTCTTTCTTTGGGCCTCCAATTGCCTCCTTATCGCTCAAGTCTCAGATCAAAGTTAGCTCCTTAAAAAGTTTCCTAGGCTATCCTGGCAGAGATGTCTTATGGACTCACCCTCTTGAGTTTCTTCAGAACACCCACTCTTTGGGATCTGGGTGATCTCATTTACATGTCTGCTAACTGTGTTCCATCAGCGAAAGGCCTTTGACAGGGTCGCCCCGTGCTCGCAGCATCCAGAGCAGGCATGGCACCTAGGCGCCCCGGCCGAATGCTGCTGGGTCTCACCGGAGCCGGCCCCTCCTCTGCGTCACGCCTTGCCATTAACTGCGCCTTTCCCTCCTTCCCTGGTTTGTGACCTGCAACAGGAAAAAAGCTCCCCATGTCTGTTACACCTTATTCTGAGAACAATAAAGAATAAGGAAAACTTCCCAGCATACGGGGTTTGTTAGATGAGCAAGAAGAGGCAGCATCCAATTTGGAAGCTGCTTTCTGACCAAAAACATCTGTTGCTGTAGTTATCCTGAACTCTCCTAGCTCCTGAAGGGTGCTCCCCTGGCTGGGACTTGGCCTCCGCGTCTGGCCTCGGCTCAGATGGGAGACGGGGCCGAGGACCCCGACTCTGCCCTCCAGGATCTCGGGGCCTCCGACTGCCTCCATCATGCCCCCCATCACGCCGTGGGGCTGTCCCCTGCCCTGCTACCTGGCCAGAGCTGAACCTCTAGCAGGGAAAGCTTGGCGGAGAAAGGGGGGAGGGTGGCATGGAGTGGAGCGGGGGCACAGAAGGCCAGTCGCATTTAGCGTGTCCTCACCACGGACGGTGTCAGGTCCTGGGCCGGCTCGCCTCACCTGCAGTCTTCCTCATGATGTCCTGATGACCCAGCTGTCGTTATTACCCCACTTTACAGATGAGGCAATTAAGGCACCAAAAGGCTTGTCATTTTTCTTAAGTTGTTTTTTATTTTTTAAAGATTT